CATTTTAAATCATTAAAATCTAAATATTCTAATTTATCAAATATTTGATTTAAATACAAACAATTTTTACCATTATTTAATATCTTAATACATAAATAAAATTAAATTAAACAAAAAACTAAAAGAAAATGGAGCTAGACTATTCAAGCAATGATGAAGAAGATATTTAATTTGATAACTAAATTTCAAGACAGTAAGTAGGTTAACAAATGAGATTTGTTCATGAAGACAAACTAAAGAACTTTTGCTTAGATGATAACATATTACTATTGCTAAAATTCTTAAATGAAAAATATCCAGATGTAGAATGTATGACTCTTTTTAATCTCATAAATGAATAAATGATGTTAGAAAGTGAATCTACTATAAGATAAATATAACCATTATATTAAGCAAGCCTACTAGAGTATAAAAATTAAAAATTTAAAAAAGCATAAATAGAAATCAGTAGATTGTTTAGAGCGATTAATCCTTTGAACTTCCAAAAAATATGTGATGAGGTAAGTGAATCCTACAATTCTAGTAAAGAAATGAATAACCTGGAGGTTGTTATGAATTTTGGAAACACAGGGGTTGGAAAGAGTACTTTCATTCACTACTTAGCAGGATCAATAATTAATAAAACAATCAATAAAGAAGGGCTAAATCACTGGGAACCCACTAATCCTTTATACAAAGCTTTAGATCGCGTTATTTCTAAACCAGATGCCAAATCAGAAACAAAATTTGTCACTCTTGTTAAAATCAAACCTTCAGACTAAGAAGGAAATGAGTTTGGTGATGATGGAGAAATTAACTTATGTGATACACCTGGTTTTTTGGATTCAGAAGGATTAGAAGCAGAGATTTCAAATCTAACTGGAATTCATAAATGCATTTCAGTTTGCAAGAGCATAAAACCTATTATCCTAGTTAGTGAAGAAGAAATCTCTAATAGAGGCTAAGGAATAAAAATTTTAGCAAACGTAATTAAAAAAATGGTGAATCCTACATAAAATTTCCAATAAATAATTGGAAAATTCTTATTTGTCTTCTGTAAATTTAAAAATGAGGAGGATAAGGCACAACTTCACAACAAACTCAAAAATATTTACAAAAATTTAAATGA